GGACCAAAGAGCCAAAGCTCAACCCCCGCAAGCACAAATAGGTGAGTACAAATAGGTGAGTACACACACACACACACACACACACACACACACACACACACACACACACACACACACACACACACACACACACAATACACACACACACATCTAGGTGAATACACATTTGTGTGTGTTGATTGACACACTATTGACCTACCAGTTGATTGACAGTTGAGAGGCGGGACCAAACAGCCAAAGCTCAACTCCCGCAAGCACAACTAGGTGAGCACACACACGCACACAACTAGGTGAATACACACACACACAACTAGGTGAGTACACACACACACACACACACATACGTACGCCTCTAACGAGGTGATTTAGATCATTAGTGGTTTCCTAATATTTCCGCCGCTTCTTTCAGCCTCCACAGCAAGAGTCCATCTGGCCTCGCACAGTTCAATGTGACGAGAGATACAGTTTAATCGTAGAAATGTTAATTCATTCCTGATGAAGTGAATTGACATCTCTAAAATTCTAAAAGTCACTAAAACGCAGCTGCATTTGATTAGGTGGAAATCATCTTCCTAGATAACCAAAAAGTCTTTGACATTGGTCCCCTTAACAGCTGATTCACAGTTTGGGAAAACATGCATTGATTATTGTGTGTTAGAGAGTACCTAGCAGGTAGAACACAGAGGAGTGTAGTGAAAGTTGAGATGTCAGAGAAAGGTAAGTGATAAGCAAGGTAGTGCAGGTCGATGTTCAATCCCCGACCGTCCAAGAGATTGGGCACCATTCCCTTCCCCCCCGTCCCATCACCAACCCTTATCCTGACCCATTCCAAGTGCTATATAGTCGTAATGGCTTGGCGCTTTCCCATGATAGTTCCCTTCCCTTCCTGATGCGACCATCCTCTCGGAGGTTGGATTATACTTGGCAATGTTAGTTGAAGATGCTAACTTGATGAGATTGGTAAACAATGAGTCAGATGCAGGAGGACCGGCCACTACTGGAGGAGTAGTGGGGTATATCCCCCCCCCGCTACTGGTCCTGGGTATACCTTCCCCCCCCCGCTACTGGTCCTGGGTATACCTTCCCCCCCCCCCCCGTTCCCGGGTATACCACCTACTACTGGTCCGGGTATAGCCCCAGCTACGTGGGTTGGGCATGGCGCTGCTTGACGGAAGTGGTAAACCCACCTTAATACATCCTTCAGCGGCTGTTGTATCAACGGGAGGGCGCGTTATCGGACGCCTCCGTAAGTGTCGACTCCCGGCGCTGCTAACGGGAGCTGTAATTGTCGATCACCACCGGACGACGCTCTTGGGAACTGTATATTTGCCGAACGCCTCCGTCCGTCCATTCGACGTCCCGACTCCTCCGAACAAGAACCACCATTTTGAACTTGAACTGTCATTTTCACCAGTTTAAACGTTCCCACACCGAATATATGACGGCTATCATTAAGGGACTATTTTGATCAGTTTCAAGTTCCGGCGCCGCTATTTACTATTGCGCCGTTAACTACTGTACCTCCACCAATTGTGTGTGAGAGTCTAACTAGTTGACTAATGTGCTGTTGAATACCTGAAATTTATTATTCTGATTCCGTGATAAAGGCTACAGAGGCATGAGTACTATGGCTAAGATGTCTCAACCTGTCTCATGACTGATTAAGGGTTCGTCCGGTCCTCTGATTGGGTAAGGTCTAGTCCCGTCCCCTTATTGGTTAAGGCCTCGTCTCGTCCCTTGCCCGGTTAGAGAGCAGTTATGACCTTCCTGACGGGGTTTAGCCCACTATAAACAACAGAAGTCACGAATATTGTAATGTTCCCCACGACCTGACAGTTTAACACTCCCTTATGACATCATGGAAGCAGGCATGAATACTGATCAGAGAAGACGCACCTGCTGCTGTGTTGTGCCGTCGCTCAGTGCTTCCAGCGGCACTCTTGGTGCTTCCAGCGGCACTCTTGGTGCTTCCAGCGGCACTCTTGGTGCTTCCAGCGGCACTCTTGGTGCTTCCAGCGGCACTCTTGGTGCTTCCAGTGGCACTCTTGCTGCTTCCAGCGGCACTCTTGCTGCTTCCAGCGGCACTCTCGGTGCTTCCAGCGGCACTCTCGGTGCTTCCAGTGGCACTCTCAGTGTTTCCAGCGGTCCTCTCAGTCCTTACAGCAGTAATGGAATATATATATATATATATATATATATATATATATATATATATATATATATATATATATATATATATATATATATATATACATGTGTGTGTGTGTATAATATGGTATCATCGCACCCTAGTCACTGTAAATTTATGATTTGCAAGATAGATAATTAATCAGTCTCAGAAAATCTCTATGGTTGAGTGCTCAATAAAATTCTGTGATTAAAATGTTCAATAACCCTTTGTGGTTGAGTGTTCAATAACCTTTTCCTGCTGAGGCTGGAATGGTGCCAACTCTTGAACAAGTTCAGATGCACAGTGGGCGCCACAACACCCACCAGCATATAACAACGTCAAGCACATTGGGGGAAAAAAACTTTAGTAAGAAGTCTCCTCGCCAGCATCCAGTGAGCAACTGTCAGAGATGATCAAGCAGATCAGAGCTAAGAAAGCAGAACTGCCACCAACGCATTTGCAAGCCATCACACCGTGACAAGATGACAGTGGGCAGTCGCAAGAGGGTGAGGGAATTATGAGGAGAAAACGCCAAGCCGTTACGACTATATAGCACAGGGAAGGGATCAGGATAAGGATTTGGGATGAGGCGAGGAGGGAAGGAATGGTGCCCAACCACTTGTGGACGGTCGGGGATTAAACGCCGACCTGCATGAGGCGAGACCGTCGCTCTACCGTCCAGCCCAAGTGGTTGGGTTACACAAGAGGGTGAGCTCCAAGCAGCAAGGAAGGATAACACTGGAACGGCTCCTGGGCCAGGCGTGGTAACTCAATGATCAAATGCAGGCGATGAGTCACAATAACGTGGCTGAAGAATGTTGACCAGACCACACACTAGAAGGTGAAGGGACGACGACGTTTCGATCCGTCTTGGACCATTCTCAAATCGATTGCGTCGTCCGATTCTCAAGTCGTTCCTTCACCTTCTAGTGTGTGGTCTGGTCAACAATCAATGATCAAACATTCTAGAGGTGTACGTAGGACAGGAAATATTGCTCGACCTGGTCAATACGTCCTTTGGAAATGGAAATCTTCCAAATTAATGGAAGGATGTTGATGTCCTCCCGATTCCCAAACCATTAGAAGTGGACAAACATCGCCCTATTTCCCTCTTTTTCCCTACACAATCAAAACAACAAAGTGTGGTATCTCTAGAGACTCAAATGAAAACTTGGCCCACTTGGGCTGGACGGTAGAGCGACGGTCTCGCTTCATGCAGGTCGGCGTTCAATCCCCGACCGTGCAAGTGTCTGGCCATCATTCCTTTCCCTTGCCCCATCCCAAGTCCTTATCCTGTCCCCTTCCCAGTACTATTATCGTCGTAATGGATTGGCACTTTCCCCTCATAGTTCCCTTTCCATTTCATCGAAATATACTGAAATTTAAGGATAGTGTGTTAACATCTAACTACCTTGTTAAAGTCTCGACACCATCAGGATGATGTGGGGGGGGGGGGGGGAGGGGAACACCATCAGCTGCATGGTACAGTGATGGTACAGTGAGGGTACAGGGTACAGAGCACCAGCCATCAGTAGAGACCCCACCAGGTGAGGGGGAAGAAGGAGTAAGACAGCCGGCAACCAAACTACCCATACGGGTGAGAGATCTGGTTCAACACGACGACAGCATAAAGTGCAGATATTGCGGTCGACCAAAGAGACATTCCCTCAATCACTATTTACTCGATAATAATGAGTTCCAGTCGCTTAGAAATCATTTTGTCAGACACTATCAGTGACAGATGCAGCAAATCCTGCTTCGTAAGAGTTGGCTAACTATTACGCCACAAATTCCCAGTAAATCGATAATTAAACAAATTAAAAATGTCAAATAATGAACTGTGACTTTAGAAATTGTGCAGAATATCTTGGCGAGAACACGCTGACGTTTTCCTGTTCAAGGGTTCAAGGCGACGCTAGCCCCAATGCATGAACAATGTTCATCGAAGTTCAGAATGGTTCAGGACGGATCGAAACGTCGTCGTCCCTTCACCTTCTAGTGTGTGGTTTGGTAAACAATGTTCATGGAAGAACAATGTTCTTGCTGTCTCCTGCTTCATCCATCGATCCCACACCTATCATGTTACCGGGTAATAAGACCATAACACAGCAATCCGGATTCCAAACCAGTATTTACCCAGGTCTTTCCTCACCGTCAGAGCCACTAACTTGTGTCCACTGTTTCTTGTTCAGTTTTCTGTTGATATATTTAATATATTTTGATATGCCTTTTGTTGCGGCGTTCTACTGTGCAGTAATACAGGCGAGTATATCAGAATATAATAGTCGTGTCTATCCTTTTTCGTCTTATTGGAGAATGTAAATTAAGCTTTTCATATGTTCTCTTAGTGTGAGAAGTTCCTAGCACCAGTAAGATAAAAGCAGCAGCAGAAGAAACAGAGGCAACAACACCAGAATAACAGCAGGAGGAACAGCACCAGAATAACAGCAGGAGGAACAGCGTCAACAGCACCAGAATAACAGCAGGAGGAACAGCGTCAACAGCACCAGAATAACAGCAGGAGGAACAGCGTCAACAGCACCAGAATAACAGCAGGAGGAACAGCGTCAACAGCACCAGAATAACAGCAGGAGGAACAGCGTCAACAGCACCAGAATAACAGCAGGAGGAACAGCACCAGAATAACAACAGGAGGAACAGTAGGAACAACACCCGAAGAACAGCAGCAACAGTATAAT